GGCCCCCCCCCCCCCCCCGAGAGAAAAAAAAAATCTCAGAAATAATCACGCCGTAAGACTCAGCCTAACCTGGTTGCCCGAGTTCACGAAGTGAATTGGCTTGTTTTACGGTCCAGGGGGGTGTGTTATCTTGTGTCATATACGGTAGACCCTGGGCGAGCTTGACCTTGCTTGCACCGCAGCCGCGGTACCGTGCGTATAGTCTGGCAGAGGAGAGAGAAAGAGAGAGCCTCGGGAGGGGAGAGGGGAGGAGGCGGAGAAGGGGGAGGGGTAAGGGGGGACGAGGAGGGAGGGCGAAGGCGCTCGGGGCGAAAGCGCTCGAAGAAACGGCGGTTTAGTCTCTTTGATGTAGGTGGAGGGGCCTGGGGAAGTGAATAAGTACTTGATTGCACAGCAATTATTTGCAATTGCGGACAGACAGGTGTCGCACGCGGTAAAGGTGATGCCACCGCCCTACTAGGCTCATCGGCAGCCCCTCCTAGGTATGTTGCCGGCTTAGGATACTTGTATCGATGACGTTTTAACGCATGATATTTAATTTTATCGTTTAATGTGTCCTTTCGGTTCTGGTGTGTCGCGTGCTGACTTCGCTTATTTTTCGCCCAAGGTCAGTTGTCGCGGACTTTTCGCAACATTGAAAAGTTCCAAGTTACATCTAGCTTGAGGGGGTGTTCCCACGTACTGTTGTACTCCCAGGACTTGAAAACCAACAAGCAGCCCATCCCAGCTATTAATACGAAGTACTTTCTTACGGCGCAGAGTGTACACATCACCATTAACTATATTTAACCTATCAACACGACTACCTGGTAACAACGTTCTTGTGCACTTCTGCGTGCCGTAAACACCAGCACACGCAAGCACACGCAATGGAGAGGGAGCAAGCCAACAAAGCATCTGCACAACTGTTCCACGAAAAAAACAAAACTTCTTTCGTCCCCCTCCTGGGCTGTGTGTGTGTCGGGTAGGTGTGCGGTAAGACTTTTGTTGTGCGCACTTGACGGACATAATGTGAGGAATACTTCGAAGCAAAACTCTTCTTTCGGTTACTTCCTCTCCATGAGGGTCACGTCATTTTAACTCCTTCTTTCTTCGTTCCTCGGGTAGCATGTTTTTCTTGTTCTTGCAGTATTATTGTGCTGGGTACTGTCACAACAGCAGTACACCATGTTCCAATCGTTGCTATCGAAAAATTACTTTCAAGCAAAGAGTCAATGTATCGACTATTGCCGCACCGAAAGAATGCAGGGTTGATTGGTGACGCGCGTGTTGGTTGTTTGGGACGAATGCTTTGAGCACGAGAAGTTTGAAGTACGCACGAAATTCAATGGTCGAGAGGTACCGGGCTATGTCGCGACCAGCGATGGAATCGCAGCCCAAGCATCCGAGGCGCGAAAGCGTCAGCACTACGCTCGTCCGGGACACGTGTCCTTTGACGAACGCAGCTTTAAACTTACCACCTTAGCCGTGGAAAGCTTTGGCCGCCTTGGAGAGGAGGGTTACGAGTTCATCGATGAACTTGCGACACATGCCGTGGGAGGAAGGGACGGAGGAACGATGGCTCTGAAAGGAGTCTTCAAGGAACGACTTCTTCAGATCGTTTCGGTGGCTACACAGGTGGCCATATCTCGGCGAGTGCAGAGGTACAAGCTCGCATTGCGCGGGCGTCAAGACGCCGAAAACAGGCGAACAAGATCGACCTCGGACCAGTCAACGCCAATGATATGGGGATGGAGTGTAGACGCATCGTAGAACGCGTTTTCGTTTGAAGTTGGCGTCTTGTTTGAGAGTAGATGTGACAGATTTGCGTAGAATAGGGTAAGATGTTATCATGAACGGAGATGAAAGGGCTTTTCCAACACGGAGATGTAGCATGGATCAAAGCATTTGTTGGATTTCAGCTTTTACAAGAGGACATCAACGCAGTAGTATTTTTGCAAGCTTACGAACGCATATAGGATACCATCAGGATTGTCATTGGTTTTATTTCAAGTTGAAGAGGAGATATTTTTACGATGTAAATGACAGTAGAAATAAGTCCTACATATGTTGTTGTACTTCGTATTGGTTTAATATTCATGTAGAGTATGAGACATTAAGTGAAAGTTTTCTGAGGTACATCTGCAATTGTCGGAAGGCAAAAATAAATAAATAAATGATTGACAGCATCGACCACAGCCGCGCAGCATACGTCCGCCGTTCTCGCACACCTACTCGACCTCTATCACCGTATGCCCCCCCGCCCACTGGGCGGGATGAACGATGCTTCACCCTTCTACATCTTCACGCATTCAAGGAAAAATTGCTGAAATTTGTACACACACAACGTTTGGCGTGTCACTCGGGGCCCGGAGGAAGGTCGTAGATATTTTTCACTCGTCGTTAGAACCAAGCAAACCACGCGTGTGGCGAACCAAGCATCGCAACGCGGGGGGGGCTTGCCCCCCTCCGGCACCCTTGGGTGGACCAAGCAAACCACGCGTGAGGTGAACCAAGCAAACCACGGGGGGGGGTCTGTTATAGTAGTTACTGCTTTGTCTCAGCAGACAACAACAAACAGGCTCCATCTGCTGCCACCCAGCTTTCCATGTGCTACTCAATGAAAGCAGCAGAGGAGACTCCATCTACAGCAGCAGTAATATCTACAGCAGTGAGCAGAATTGTGCGTGCGTCGAAGAGGCTGACTACTGTGACCTACATCTATCGTACAAGGGGCTCCATCGCAAAGCATCACTAGAGGAGGCTGGCTCTCATGTGTCAATGTGTTTCTCCTTGTGCTGCAGCTGCTGCTGCTGCTGCACACCTTTGTACGCACAGAAACTATGTGTGTTAAGCCCTCGCTGTATGTACCATGGCACCGCTGTGATGGACAAAAGCTGTGCGTGTGAATCTCTCGCTGTGTGTACCATGGCGCTGCTGCGTGACGGTACATGTATGTACTCTGCTCTACATGTTGGACGTACAATTTTGTAGCAGCAGCAGTTACACCGCATATGGGACGGAGCCCCCACGTACCCGTCAGCACAAATTCATTAATCAGGGGGGAGGGCGGAGGCAACACCTACGGACATCGCCCCGGTGGTCTAGTGGGAAACCTCGCAGCCTGCCAAGGGCCAGGAGCCAGGACATGGGTTCGAGTCCCGGCAGAGTGAGTTTTTTTCTCACTATATAAATCCTGGTCCAGGATGAAAGCGACGCGCTGCAAAGCTCGTTGTTAGTGAACCATAATCGACTTCGCAAGTCGCGAGGGAAGGAATTGCTGTACCCTTCTCGCGATAAAAATACCTCAGGCAGGAACCGCAGGAGGGGGTCCAGCCCCCCCCTCCTATGTGACCCCGGTTGGGCCGTCTAGCCAGTAGAAGTGGAGGATAGGGGCCAGAGGGGCAGACGGCAGAGTCCAATGATGGAAGGAAAAAATATGTGTATATATATGTCGGTTCTTTGTGACCTGGGCTGTGGGAGGTGCGTCCCCGGAAACCAAAACGCCTAAACAACACTGAGCAGCAGCAGACAACACATTATTATAGCTGACACAATATAGATAGCAGCAGCAACGTACATACACAATAGCCGCCGGGCTGCTGCCAGGGTACTCGGCTTCAGGATTTTTCTGCTGTGGCACAGACGGTTGCTTTACTACCATGAGCTAGCACGGAATGGACTGCCAGCCACCAAGCAGTAGTCTAGGTGTGTAGCAGCTGTGTGATGGCTGTGTGGTTCGGTTAGGAACCACAGAGCAGCGTGGATCTACCCTGTCCTCCAAGCGTGTACATGGGACAGGTACGACACACATCATTGACGCGCACATGTAGCATTCGGCATCGTCCTCACAGCTCTTACTCCCTGCACGTTCCTCTCTCTGTCTCTATTTCTGTTGGAATTCACGATTCTCGACCCGAACTTGCTCGACTGAATCAAACTGCTGCCGGGGCACGCCACAACTGCATACCCGGGACTAAAAAATCTTCAAGTAATGGGCGGGGGGGGGGGGGGGGGGGGG